GCTTCTAAATTCCGCGTCAAAGGCCGCGTTTTCTTATTAGCAGGAGAGGGAGATTTCTCAATGAAATCAAGAAGATCATCTTTCTTATTAGTGGCCTCATCGAAATCCTTATTTAGATTCTTGATGCACTGATTAATGTTACTTTCCAGAACTGCTTCTTCTTCTTCTTCTTCTTCTTCTTCCTGAATTTTCTTCTCCTGTAACTTCATAACACAAAACAACTCAGCCATAACACAAAATAACTCAGCCATAACATAAAACAACTCAGCCATAACACTAAACAACTCTACCATAACAGAGGTATAACTCAGCCATAACACAAAACAACTCTTACATAACAGATGTATAACTCAGCCATAACATAAAACAACTCAGCCAAAACAGAGATATAACTCAGCCATAACACAAAACAACTCTTATATAACAGAGGTATAACTCAGCCATAACATAAAACAACTCAGTGAAAACAGAGATATAACTCAGCCATAACATAAAACAACTCAGCCAAAACAGAGATATAACTCAGCCATAACATAAAACAACTCAGCCAAAACAGAGATATAACTCAGCCATAACATAAACAACTCAGCCGTAATGTATTTGATAACTCAGCCATAACATAAACAACTAATTAAAAAAATCGAATAACTCAGCCATTACATAAAATTAAGAGAACTCAACTTACCGGGGGACTAGTAACAGAGTAGTCTTGGCTTGACGGTTTCTTCTGAATTACAGGAGTCTGTTCTTTTTTTTTCCCAAAAGCATCTCTGATTCTTATATTGGAGATGCTCTTGAGTGGTAATGTGTCGTCATTCTGAATGTTTTTGCCTCCACTCATGAGACTAGCTAGGCCTCCACTTCTGGCAACGAAGGAAATTAGGCCTTTCATCTTGACGAATTCTTCATCAACACGTGTAAACTTATCATCAAAGGTCTCAACCTTTGATTTCATGGTCTCAATAGTTGATTTCATTTCTGAAACCATACCCACGAGTAATTTAAGTGACGCCTTTCCACCAGCATCGTCCTCTTCACTATCAGCCTGCAAAACATACACAAAAATTGATAATCAAAACATACACAAAGTTATATGACTATATAACATATAACTTACCTTTACCTCCTCACTCTTCTTCTTCTTAGTCTTCTGTTCATGAGGCTTTACCTCCTCGTTTATCTTCTTCTTCTTCTTCTTCTTCTGTGCATCTTCTGCACCAGAATCACCACCCTTTTCAACTTTCTGCTTCTTAGCAGCGGGAGATTCAGACTCAACCGCTGCTCTAACTTTTCCACTCTTCTTCTTGTCCTCAATCACTTTCACATCCCAAAAACCTTTAACAAGCTTTTCTTCATGTATGTCATTGACCAAGTTGACAAGTTCTGGGTCTTCTTCTGTCTGATTTGGCCACGTATGAAAAAGCTCACTTACATCACCCTTCATCACCATTGAACTCACACGCAGCTACATTAGAAGACAAACATCAATAAGTATAACTCATAAAGACAAAACAAATACATAACTCAGCCATAACTAAACTATAACTCAGCCATTACTAAACTATAACTCAGCCATAACTTAATTATAACTCAGCCGTAACTAAACTATAACTCAGCCATAACTTAATTATAACTCAGCCGTAACTAAACTATAACTCAGCCATCACTAATATATAACTCAACCGTAACTAAACTATAACTCAGCCATTACTAATAAATACATCAGCCATGACTAAATCGTAACTCAGTCATAACATAAAACAGAGATCAGACGGATTTCAGTTACCTCACTATACTTTTTGATATCTTCAGCAATGGCCACATCTAATGCTGAACGTGTACGGGTCCCAGGCCATCGAAACAACGGGATCTCTTCATTCTCGACTAAATTCCCGAATCGCTCTCCTAAGCATTTGATAGAGTCATATGCCCAAGCTTGTAACACGTAAACCGGCCCACCAAGGGTGTAGGAACTACCTCTAGGATTCAAGCACTTCACATTATCAACCATAGTCTCAAATGCGACCCGACCCCATGGATAAGCCTTCACGGCTTTATCATCAGAAACTATTTTTGCAGCTTCAAATGGTATACGTGAGTTATGATGCACGCAGTAGACTCCAATGGCTAGGAAAATCAATAGCCCCAACCACTTGCGCTTCTCAACAGACCATGACCGGCACACTAATAATCCTTTAAGTAGCTCATCATATGTTGGACCTTCCCCACCGTGAACTTTCAATTCTTCTGTTAAGAACTGTTTGAAGTCAACTGAAGGTTCAAACTTCTCTGATGGAGTTGGATCTATGTTTAACCCCGTGAGGTGAGCGAATTCATTCAAACCAAACCTTATAGGCTGGCCACCAACTAAACACCAAAGCTCTTTGTGTTTAATTCTCAACTGATTACACAATAGATAGTGTACAGTCTTAGCAGACCAAACGAATTTGCTTTCAACTAGTTTAGCAACTATTCCAAGAGGTAATTGCTTGATCTCATCCCACGCGTCTTGTCCAATTGATTCCCTAACCCCAGGGAAATCTGCCATCCTAAAATAGGTACACATGTTTTTTTTCTTGAGGATAGACATCCCTTCTTCGTAAAGTCTCGGTGGGTAACGCATTGCTTGTTCTGCAGCCATCTGAAATAAGTATAAACACATCATAACTCAGCCACAACATAAACTATAACTCAGCCACAACATGAACTATAACTCAGCCACAACATAAACTATAACTCAGCCACAACATAAACTATAACTCAGCCACAACATAAACTATAACTCAGCCACAACATAAACTATAACTCAGCCGCAACTTAAAACAAGTTACTAAGTGAGCCATAACAAATATTATAACTCAGCCACATCAATAACAAAGTAAGACAACTCAGCCATAACATGATAAGTAACTCAGCCATAACATGATAAGTAACTCAGTCGTCGAATCTATAGATCTGACAAATCAGCCGTCACGAATACTGTAACTCAGCCGTCGAATGAATAGAGCAAACGACGGCGACAATCAACCATAATAAGCAAAAACAAACACGAGTATAGTCGGAAATACAGTTCGACACTTACCGGAATATGAAAGGTCTCGAATGCAGCAAAGAAACTACGACGAACTCACGGCGACTTCTTCTCTTCACAGCGACTAAAGGCGAGTTTGAAGACTGAAACAGAGAGAGCGTCGGCGGCGAGTACTGTGTAGAAGGCGAGTATTGTCTTCATCGTCGGCGGCGAGGAATTTCTCTGTCGCGAGAGAGAAAGTTTTTTTTTTTTTTTTTTTTTTCAATTGTGAACAGTGAAGAGAAAGAAACTGTTCAGTTTCTCTTTTGTAATTAATGAAAGAATAACTGTAAATGATGATGTGGCAATTTCGGATCTGATGTGGCAATTTCGGATCTGATGTGGCAATTTTAAGAGAAAACAGAACAAGGGTGTTAATTGTAATTACACCCATTTTGAAAGACATCTAAGGAATAAAAAAAAGATTTGGCTGTTTAAGGAATAAACATACAATTGTGGTTTATCTAAGTAATTCTCCCTATAAATAATATAGAGAATAAATATCTCTACAAATAAAACCCCACATTTACGTGTAAGTTTAAATCGTTAACTTATTTTCTTATATGTTCAAAACAAAATATACAATCTTAAATGAGTAATTTATTATTAAAATGGTTATGAGATGGAAAAACATGAGAACATGACATATTAGGACACACGGGTCATGGTTTATGTCCCGAAATATACAAACCACATTTTTTTACTATTTTTTTTAGGGTACATCTGTCCAAAACAAAATTGTATCGTTCTTTTTTGTTTAGAGTGATTTAAAAACAAATCAAATATTAAACTAGTACGGGTTTAGATTATAAATGTTAATAACATTCTTAAAAGTTATGTTTACAAACATACCCCATACGTACCCAATATATTTCAAAATTTAATAACAAATTTTATTTTGAAAATCAGTCCCGTACGTAGGTGCGGATCCAAATCTAGTGGCAATTAAATGATAATTACATACAATTATGTTTGAGCTTTCTAAATTATAATATAAAAACTTTAGTAGAATGGAAATATAAATTGGGAAACATATTATTTATATGATAAACAGTTTATAATCTTCTGTATATTGATTGGGTTTATTATTTATAATCGGATCTAGTTAAAAATTACGACATAATAACTAAAAACTGAAAAGAACTTATAGATTTTATTGAATATGAATATCATATTAAGGAATTAATTGAATATATATTTTATCTTAGGGATGGTTGTAAGTTTTCTTGAAGAAACCCTATCCTCCTCGTTGATCATCATAAACTTGAAGAGAGTTTTTATTTCCAGTTTTTGGCTCTGTCTAGTATGAGAATTTTTCTTAAGATGTATCGGAGTAAGATAAGTTCTTATATCGCTCTGCTCTTGACATGGAACCCTGCTTTGACATAGTGAAAAAAGTGATCAATGGAACTGTAACTTTACCGATGGTTAATAAATTTGTTGAATATATGTTTGTAAATTATAACTTTTATAATGCTAATTGTGCAATTTTTGGTGAGGAGCATTGTGAGAGTGCTACATCAGCTTTTGCTCTCAAAATGCCTTTCTATTTATATATAAGGAATTTGATTAAAAATCTTTATATATGCTTTACGTTTCAATCAAGAGTGTATATATAGGTAATTTTAGTAAAATATTAAATATTGTTATTTTCCTACCTACGATCTATCAACAAAAAATATATTCCAATTTTACTCTTATTCACTTTTATTTATTATTAATGCATAAATGACATTAAATTAATTTTAAATTTATTTAAAGAATTATTAATATTTCATTGTAAAAATATAATTAATTAAAAATATATATTTCATATTTCATTTATCCAATAATTGTTACTTTTTAAAAGAAAATATAAATAAAATTTATTAAAAAAATTTAATCAGTTTTGCTTACAAATGAATAAATCTATATTCATTACAAACCTTTTTAGGTTATTTTAAATCAGTTTTGCTTTCAAATTTTATCTTGTCCAATAATACTAAAGTAATATTTGTATATTAAGAATTTATGTGTATCTTTATTTTATAAATAAACAATAGTTATAAAACAAGTTTAAAATTCTAGTTTATTAACAAAATTCGAGATAAAATATTTTTAAACTTCCAATAAAAAAAGTTGAAATTTTAACCTGTCCAAATATAAAATAGATGGCATATTTATCTGGTTTTTTCCTTTTGCGAAGAAACAGAATTAACTTTTAGTACAAAAAGTAACGATCCCAAAAGTCAGATCAAACTAAAGCAAATGGCTTCCTCTTCTTCTTCCTCTTCTCCGACGCCTACTGCTTCGGCGGCGCTCTCTCCTCTTTCTGAAGAGGAACTAACTCTGACAGTGAAGTGGAATGGAAAAGAGTACACCGTCCGAATCTGTGCCGATGACTCAGTGGCCGAGCTTAAACGTCGCATCTGTCTTCTGACCACCGTTTTACCAAAACGCCAAAAGCTTCTTTATCCCAAGATCGGAAACAAACTGTCTGACGATTCTCTTCTCCTCTCTTCGATCTCCTTTAAGCCCTCACTGAAGATGACAATGATTGGGTCAGTTCAATTTTTCTTCAATTTCTTATCTTAAACCCTAACCGTAGTCGATCTAATTTGATAAGGAAACACCAATTATGAAATTTTCAGTACTGTTGAAGATGATATAATAGTGGATCAAGCTGAATCTCCTGAAATTGTTGATGATTTTGAGCTTGGTAAAGAAGAAGCTGTTGATGTGAAAGACAAGGAAGTCAATAAGCAGAAGTTGAGGAGAAGGATTGATCAATACAAGGTGTGAGAGTGAGACTTTTATGTGTGTTTTAGGTATCTATGTGTTAATGAGTCAAGCTTATACAAACATTGTGCCATTACTTTGCAGATAAATCTTCGATCGCCTTGTCGTAAAGGCAAGAAACTTCTTGTTCTAGATATTGATTATACATTGTTCGATCATCGTTCTACAGCGGAGAACCCTTTACAGCTTATGCGTCCTTGTAAGCGACCATACTGTAACTGAACTGTTTATGTTTTAGCTGGTTAGTTAGCTTCTTTCTCTGATGGATGTAATGATTACGCAATGCAGATCTCCATGAGTTTCTTACTGCTGCATATGCAGAATACGATATTATCATTTGGTCTGCTACCAGGTGATGTTGTTGTTTCTTTTGACATTTCAGTTTTCTTTAATGTATTTATACAATTCTGATGCTAGAGTTATCCACGTTGAGTTCTGCAGCATGAAGTGGGTTGAGTTAAAGATGACAGAGCTGGGAGTGCTAAACAATCCTAACTACAAGATCACAGCTCTTCTCGACCATCTTGCAATGATCACGGTCCAGTCAGACACTCGTGGAATTTTTGATTGCAAACCTCTAGGCTTAATTTGGGCATTACTTCCTGAGGTAATTTATATTCGATAGAACCTTTACTTTGAACATAAAAATCTTGATCTCTCTTTGTAATGGATAGGTGTTATTCTGACTTGTGCAGTTCTATAATCCCGGGAACACGATAATGTTTGATGATCTAAGGAGGAATTTTGTAATGAATCCTCAAAACGGTCTAACAATCAGGCCGTTTAGGAAAGCTCATGCAAACCGAGATACAGATCAAGAGCTTGTGAAGCTTACTCAGTACCTTCTGACAATTGCTGAGCTTCAAGATTTGAGCTCTCTACACCATAGCAGATGGGAATCATTCTCTCAGGACAATGTCAAAAGGCGCAGACAGGAATGACTTGGCATCCATATTATTGGGTTTTTGTTTAGTTTTATTGACATACCAAGACTTTCCGGATGTCACTTTTTTGTTTGCTTTAACTATTTTAAGGGGTATGAGAACTGTCAACGTTTAATAGTAGTATCAAATGTTGAACTTTACAGCATAACAACAAAATATCTCTTAATGGTGAATTCATATTTCTAATAAATGATATGGGTTTGGTTAACACAAACAGATAAACAAAGAAACGACAAAAAACGGAAAACAAATATTTGAGACTTGAGACAGAGCTTACATCACTACACGTTTTACAGGGAACATTCTCTTTAGATACAATACAAGCGATGCACATCCCAAGATTTGAGAGCCCTAGAATGAAGCCAGTACCGTCAAAAGGATTGCAGTCTATAGAGCAGACATGCCATGAACAAATGAGTTAATAATATCTTATCATAAATACCTGATGTGTGGAGAGACAGACCAAACCACCTCCGGCGATCGCTTTTTCATTTATACTGTTTTCGCCATCAATCCCTGGCACTTGCTAATCAAGATGCCAAACCAGGTCAACAAAGATAAACATAAACTAAGACGCATAAGCACAAACTGAGCAGCTACAATGCGATAGGGAAAGACACACACGAAGCTGGTCTGGAACAATGAAGACAGCTCAAGCCATAAGCATAAATATATCTTTGGCAGGAACTTTGAACCCTTAGGGCCTCAAGGACAGATTCGTGAATTGCGACTCTAGATCTCTACTTTTTGAACGCTGGTGGCTAGATGATCCTTGCTTTTTTGTCTGCTGTTGCTGTTGTGGCTCGTGCTGCTGTTGTAGCTGGTACAAAGCCCTCAGCCTCACAATCTCTTTCTCCAATACTTCATGTTCTACTGAAAAAGGAAAACAGAAAACCCAAGATGAGGTTAACATCTCACTAATCACAATCTACATACTCAGGGAAACTAAAAGGCATCACATCATTGATTAAGATTTCTACTAGTACCATAGCTTGAAATAAGTTTTCTGATTATTATGATGTGATAATCAATCTTGTTATTTCATCCTAGCACTGATATAAATAAATATCTTACTTTCACAGTTATAAGAAATTATGAGGAAAAAGGTTTTGGTGTTCTGGTTAGAGCCTGAACACTTACAGTACTTTATAAGCTGTTCTTGTGATAAGCTTTCCAACCGATTCTTAAGAGATTTGTTCTCCAAGCTGAGAATTAGATTCTGCTGATTAAGAAACTCAAGCTCCGCCGTCACTTCAGAACCCTCTACCTGTAACATCTGAACGTTCCTTTCCAGTTCAGCTATGTATTGAATTTTACGGACCCGAGAGCGTTGGGCAAACTGCCTGCAAAAGAAATCATCTGGTTTGATTAAGCAGAGTAAAGTTACAACTGAGCTAAGGGCTTTCCTATTGCTGTATGCAATGTACACTTTTTCATCAAAACAATCCAAGACACATAAAAATATCATAACAAATTACGTACTGTCTAGCGCGTTTCGTATCAGCTTCGGAAGTAGCAGACTTGGCCAGAAAATTATCCCTTTTTTCAGAGGATGACTTTGAGGAATTATTTATGAAATGCATAGAAACATCTTTCTTGCCATCAGCAGCACAAGAAACCTTCTCTGCTTCATGTAGGCTACTGGATGACCCTGATCTTCGGATACCCGCGCTCTCCAAACAACCAGAACTACTGTTTGGGCGAGCACCAGAATCTGATAATGAATCCCATGTTCTCATTTTCTGTTTCGCCAAATGAGCTGAAGGATAGAAGGAAACTGGCTGACTTCTAAGGTAATCAGGTTCCTTGGGACCTCTGGCATGACCAGAGAAACTGCTATTATTATATCTACCACCATCCCAAAGAGTGTAATCCACATCAAAACCAACAGGGACATCTACATATGCAAATGAATCACTTGATGACCGTCGATGACCTCCTTTCCGTACAGGTGTCTCAGGTTCATTGAGAAGGTCGTCAAGCCAAGAAGGCTGTTCTTCAATCAGAAAGCTCTCAGATGAAGTCCGATGGTGATTGATATTTCCTTCTCCCAGCTTCTGAACCGCCTTAGATCCAATCACACTATCTGCAAAAAATGTTGGGCCACCAATAAACGGACTTTTCGGTGGAAGTAAAGCCTGCTTCCCAGTGCATGCCAGATTTCTAAGATTCTGAGACCCTTTAGAACTTGCCATCTACTCAACATAAAAACACAAAACATAATATCAATCAGAGAAAACAAGCATGTACACTATATCACTCAAGAGGATAAACTTTACAGCTACAAAACTGGAGAAACAAAACTACGATTTAGGTAGATAGACAGCTCTTTCTCAGGTAGAGAGATAAACAAACTTGTACCTAAGTTTTCCTAAGCAAGTTATCTAGTACCTAACAATGATAACATAAAGCAACATTAGGTCCTTATACTATCAATATGCAACATACAAAAATTTGGTTAAAATGGTAAAGGTAGTTCTTTTACATAAACAAGTCCAAATCCACAAGTTTGACCAAATGTGAACGAAATTATCACTACGATTCAATACAAATCAGATAGATAAATCTTCCCTAATTACAACATTTCATCAAATACAAAAAGCCCTAAACTTACAAATCTGTTTCGAAAAGTTTTGTTACCTCTATGAATAAATCAAGAGAAGGAGACGAGATCTGCAAATATTGAAACGACGATTGGGTAAAGAGAATAAGGATTGCGTTGTCTTCTTCTTCTTCTTGTATGAATGAATGAATATGAATCTGTCTATTCTTTGTTTTTCTGGTGGCAGAGGTTAGAGAAGGCTAGCTGGATTGATGAGTAAAAAGGCCTAAAAATTAACGATGATTTGTTTTTATTTATTTATTTATTTATTTATTTATTTTTCAGTTATGTTTTTTTAGTTACCTGTATTCTCGCGCTGTCTTCAACTTATGTGATCTGACTTTGTGAATAAGTTATACACAACGTACTTATTTATCTCATGTTTGTAATGTAATAATCTCTTTGGTTCCATGGAACTCTCTCAGAATTCGTTTTCTGTTTTAGAAACGTTTTACTTTTGGAAATACTAAAAATTCTAAAAATTGTTAACAATGATATTATTTCTAAAGTTTTTAATTTGGAAACACAATAGTTTCTCTAAAGAAGTGTACTTTCGTAAAAGCCCCTTGGTCTAATGGTGTTGATCAAGGGTTCGAACCCTAGATAATACGATTTATTAATATTTTTGCAGATTAATAGAGATAAATTTACAAGAGATCTCTAATGATGCGTAACTATAGCCGTTCGCCATGATTTTAGCTATTGAAGGAGAAGAAGGTGTCCAAGCGCAGCATGGAGAGGAAGGTGTTCAAGATCAGCATGGAGAGCATCGAGTGTCTTTAATGGTGAATCTAGTAGGGTCGGAAGAATTTGCCCATGGTAAATCTATCTTTGTAACAGTTCTCATAATCGGCAATAATTAATAAATATAAAGACGAGCAAAAGAAAAAAATTGAAGTGCACTTTTAATTAAATCTGGAAAAGTGTATGCCTTTACATTAGAACTAGGATTTAACCCGCGAGACAATATTTGTATTTTAAAATTTTTATATCAATAGCGGTTATACTACGATGGTTTTCCTACTTTATTATACAAATTTTTTTTTATCGTAGTGATATAGAGTTTGATTGATTTAAACAAAGTAGTTGCGGTTACACATGCATATATTTACGAAAGCATAAAGTTTAGTTCTTAATTTAATCAAATGTTTTAAATGGTTAATTTAGAGGTTACAAAAAAATTTAGAGGTTGAGAATAAATGTAAGAATATACCGAATTTGATTATATTTTTTTAACTATGCTTTACATATATATTTTAGGTAGGTTTAAACATTGGTTTCTACCCGCGGTATACCGCGATATAGTATTTATTCATAAATACAACAGTATTAAAAATTTATATTGTTTTAAAGTGTAAAATTTAAATTCTATGATTTTATATTTAACCCGTTATATCTATATAATTTAGTAATTAAATATTGCAATTACATACCTATTGCAATATTAATTCATAAATATACATATCATTATAAAGTGTCAAAGAAATAACAGTATTATTAATTCATTATATAATAGACCAACATTAGTTCTAACCCGTTCGACCTATTGATCCGCAAGCTCTAAATTTGGTTTCATCAAAATCATGTTTATGTCACATTAGAACATTTTTATTAAATTTTTTTTTTTCAAGGTAAAATATAAATATTTTTGAAAAAATTTATATCGTTTTTGTTATAAACTTAAAATTAAGGATTAATATAAGGCTTTCATTTTTAAAGTTTTTGGTAAGCTATTTATTTTTCTTTCATAAATATAAATATCTTAAAGAATAACCCTAAAATTTTGGAATTTGTTACCGTCATAACATTGAATAGATACCAAAATTATAAAATTTTAATCATTTATCATAAATACTTAATTTTAAATAGATATTATTAATACGTAAGCTCATTTTTGAAATCTTGAAGTATGTTTTGTTTAAATAGATATAATGGTTTGTAAAATTTTAATCATTTATCATAAATACCTAATTTTAAATAGATATTATTAATACGTAATCTCATTTTTGAAATCTTGAAGTATGTTTTGTTTAAGTTTTGTAATTTTTTTAGAATAATATATATCAAAATCGAATGTTATATTTATAATATTATGTGTATATATAATGTGTTTTAAAATTAAGGGGGATTTGCATAACTAACCTTTTTAAGATACCCTTTTATACAAATACCCTCTATTTGCATAACTAACCTTTGCAATAGATGAAGAAGTACACATTGCTGTTGTAACTAATAATTTAGAAATATATTTGATACAAGATTGGAGTCACTCCAACTTTAGGTCACTTAATGATCAAGAGACTCCAAGCTTAGATTGCGGAAGGTGGCTCACAAGCTGGCTCTAAAGCACTCACTTGTGAATTAAGGGGTGGTACAGGGAATGGTTCAGGTGATTGACTCGCTCAATCAGTGGGATAATCGATTCACTCGATCAATGAACGAATGAAGGATGGTGAATCACTAAAAAAACTTAATCCGCAGGTTTCTAAAGCACTAAGTGACTCACTGACAAAGAACTAAAGAAGAGCAATGACAAAGACTCATACTCTCATTTTAGGTTTTGATTAGAAAATAGTGAAAGACTCAGATTTGATCGTGAATTTTTAGAAGAAAAAATTATAGTGTTTTTGACTTGTATTACGGACAATGAAGAAATTTAGAGAAATCGATAATGAATTGTTATAAGTTTTCAATTGATTCAACTGATTCAATTTTCAATTGATTCAACTGATTCAGTTTTCAACTAATTCAATTTTCAACTGATGTAATTCCGGCGGACGAGAGACGGAACAAGAGACGCGACGAGAGAGAGGAAAATTTTGACGGCGAAGAAAGAGCGACGAAGAAGAAAGAAACAATTGTTTTGGTCTGAGGGTAAAATGGTCATAAAATTTTAAGAGAGGGTATAAGTGAAATTGGCAAATAAAAGAGAGTATTTTTAAAAGAGGGTATCATAAAAAGGGTATTGTTATGAAGGAGAGTATTTTTAAAAGAGGGTATCATGAAGGATTGAACTGGTTATCTTGGCACATTTTCTCACACACACTAATCCACTGAGCCATAATAACATTTCGTTATTATGGCAAACAAATTTTATATATGGACAACGCATTCATTTAAAAATAAAAAAACTAAAAATCTCAATGGTTGATTTGATTCTTTAAATTTAAAAATTATTATTATATGCATAAAAGAAACAAATATTATTAAAAATTAAAACTAAACAAATACTAAATATAAGATTATGATTAAGTACAAAAATTATGATTAAAATAAAAATAAACATTCACAATAATTACATATATATATATATGTATATATTTGGTAGGAATGACATATATATATATTGGCATCTAATAAATGTAATCTCTCTTAGTTTTTGGTTTATTAGTCGTAAAATATCACTCATTGCTTTATTTAATAATTTGATTTTTGTATTTCATATTGTTTTAGTTTTGTTATTTTAAATAATAATTATTGTGTATAATATTTATTTTAAATTGAATAATTATTATTGTATTTTAACGTAATTATTGGATTTCTATTTAATAAATAATTATTTTATTTTTAATTAATTGCATATATATGTGATATATGTCTATGTGTATATATATGTTTTGTTTGTACTTGGAGTGAAATGTTATCGTGGCTCAATGGTTTATTGTTTGATGAAAGGCCTATGGCTCATGAGTTCGATTCTTTGAGGCTTCAATTGGTGTTTAATTTTTATTTAATGAAACGACGTCGTTTTGGAGTTTGACTTGGAGTTTAACAGAAGGGAAATGGAACCTCTAACAGAAAGTTAACTTTGTTAACGAAAATCTAACGTCATGCCCGAAATGGCCAAGTCAATGAAACTTGTTCATTTTATTCGAAAGTCAAACAAAACTTTAGGATTTAAATAACATTTCGAAAGTTCATGATTTTTTCGTCCACAATTTGAAAGTTGGGGATTTTTTTGACATTTTTTCCCGAGTAAAAAACTACAACTTTCTTGCAAGGTTTCGAAAATATTTTGGATTTTCAAAGGCAATAGATTAATTTGGTGTTTTCTCGCTGTTGTGGAAGTGGTGTTGCAATAGATGAAGAAGTACACATTGTTGTTGTAACTAATAATTTAGAAATATATTTGATACAAGATTGGAATCACTCCAACTTTAGGTCACTTAATGATCAAGAGACTCCAAGCTTAGATTGCGGAAGGTGGCTCACGAGCTGGCTCTAAAGCACTCTCTTGTGAATTAAGGGGTGGTACATGGGATGGTTCAGGTGATTGACTCGCTCAATAAGTGGGATAATTGATTCACTCGATCAATGAACGAATGAAGGATGGCGAATCACTAAAAAAACTTAATCCGCAGGTTTCTAAAGCACTAAGTGACTCACTGACAAACAACTAAAGAAGAACAATGACAAAGACTCAGCCTCTCATTTTAAGGTTTGATTAGAAAATAGTGAAAAACTCAGATTTGATCGTGAATTTTTATAAGAAAAAATTATAGTGTTTTTGACTTGTATTACGGACAATGAAGAAATTTAGAGAAATCGATAATGAATTGTTATAAGTTTTCAATTGATTCAACTGATTCAATTTTCAAATGATTCAACTGATTCAATTTTCAAATGATTCAACTGATTCAATTTTCAATTGATTCAACTGATTCAATTTTCAATTGATTCAACTGATTCAATTTTCAACTAATTCAATTTTCAACTGATGTAATTCCGGCGGACGAGAGACAGGACAAGAGACGCGACGAGAGAGAGGAAAATTTTGACGGCGAAGAAAGAGCAACGAAGAAGAAAGAAACAATTGTTTTGGTCTGAGGGTAAAATGGTCATAAAATTTTAAGAGAGGGTATAAGAGAAATTGGCAAATAAAAGAGGGTATTTTTAAAAGAGGGTATCATAAAAAGGGTATTGTTATCAATTTCTCTTATATATATCAATAATTCTTAAAATGAATAATCACTCAAATTGAACAAGAGAATTTTTGAGAAATACTATTTTTGTGTACCTCTTTTCAAAAATACCACTTTTATATATCCGTTTTCAAAAATACTTTGTTTAAATATGAATTATTATAAAGCTTTTATATGGTTTATAAGGTACTTCTGGATAATAGCTACTAATGCGAGATTCGATCCAAATAATTTATAAGGTTTTAAAAGGTTTTTAAATCGTTTTTATACGATTTTTAAA